ATAGAATCGCTTAGACAATAAAGTTCACCTGACTCGATGTATCATGGCCCCCCGGCGTTTTGGAGTGAATAGTTACACACACATATACACATAGAAGTATACGCGTCAGGGAAGAGTATCCGACGGAGATAATGCATTGCAATACAAGGCACCTCACATGGACTCGGGATGCGTGTAGCTTCCTCAGAGCACTCAACCGCGTATAAAAAGAAAAGGAGGGGTGAAGACATCCGTCAGGAGTAGGTGCTACTGAGCCCTCTCCCTCGGTGGGGGAGGCGACAAGCACACTGCACAAGGCATACCCTCCCACCACCACACCAATGAATCGGGGGCAAAAGGGAGGGCGGCCTGAAACTGGTTTCTTCTCTTCTGCAGAGGCAGCAGCAGTTGATGGCATTCGAAAAGAACAACACATACTGACGATAACTTGTTGGCAACAAATTAACTCGCCATTTATCGTGCGAATGAAAGTGTGAGCGGCGTCTTTCCTCGATGCGAGGATGAAGCCCAAGGACGCAGCTCCGCTGATGCGGCAGCGGGCGCCTTCAGCCAACAGAGGCCGCCGGAGGAGTCGCGGGAAGGCCACGATAAAAAAGCAAGGCAATCTGCCGCCAACCACAATGCATTCCCCAGAAGAACTTTCGCGCCGTGTTAAGCGATTCGCCAGCAGGAAAGGATCACTAGGAATTCCGCTGTGCAGCCAGAATTATCAGGAGAAGCGACGCCCACATACGCACCTACCAAGACGATTCCTCCGTGACAACTTCAAAGGTGCCAGTGAAAGAAGTGAGGGCAATGTGGGATGCATCACCGCGCATTTCTTGATTGTGAAACGTTTTGCGAATGCCAAAACGAAATATCAACCACAAAACGGTCCACTTCCCATCATCCGCGCTGCAAGCTTTCCCAAACTTCTTCTGCTCAGTCAGCATAAGAAAAATATAATCATGAGGAAAAGTAGGCATCATACACACATGTCGCAAACCTCTCTTGAAGTAACTGATATTCACACACAAAAAGACTCTTACTCACTTACCCAAGTAAGCTCTGTTAGGATTCTGCTCGTGGATGTCCCTGAAGAGCAAATTCAGCAATGGTTGAAAAGCCATGTTGGAAATTGCATGCAATACACACTTCAGCGACGCCCAGAGAAGGAATTTCGAAAACAAAACATGTTTCTCGCAAAAGCGACATTTGCGGCCAAGCAAAAAAGAAGTGAAGCATAAGAACACAACTGTGCACAAAACAGGAAAAAAAGCGTTCATTTCCTTCCCTCACATATTTGCGTGTCTGCTTTCAATTGCATATATTTTACACATCAATAAGAAGAACAAAAAAAAGTCAGTTCGAGTGACAAGATGCATATCCCACGGTGCCATGGTGTGGCGCAGGGGTTTCGTCCGTTAAATTCGTTCAGCTCAGATCACTCTGAAAGATCGGCAGTGCAAATGGCCTTTCCGCAATGCAGAAAGGGAATAAGTGTCGGTAAAGAAAGCGGTGAGGAAGCAGTGTGTTTTTTTAAGCAGGCTCTCTCTATTGATTACTCGCGCTTCATCAGAACTCATGCCCGAGCAAACAGTGGACAAACGACGCCCCCCGCGGCTGCTTCCTTGGCGCTGCGCGGCCGACACCGCTTCCGAAGCCTGCACCCCCCGATGGTCGCATGGGGAAAGAGGCGGCGGTTCAACAAGACCGCGCGCGCCCCGGGAAGGACGCGGGGCCCAGGAGGCGCCTTGACCGCCCCGTTGTTGCGCCCGGGGGGCGTCGCGCACAAGAAAACAGAACAAAGCCGCGCGCCAGGCGAAGGGCCGGCAATGTTCTTCCTCGAGCCCGTGCCGCGGCGCCCGTCGCCCAAAACAAGAAAATTGGCAGGGGCCGGGAAAAAAACAGAAATAAAGGCGCCGCCCCCCGCTCTGCCGGCCCTCTTTTGCGCGCCCCCGCGCGGCCCGGA